AGTGAGTGATCTTCTCCCTGGTGATCGGGATCAAAACCATTTAGAAATGAGGTGCATTAAAAAACAAAACTTGAATTCCACCTATTGTCTTGTCAGTGCTAGTGCCGATTGCAGAGCCCCGACTGACTGGGTTGTGTGTGATGCTGCATGCCTGGAATCACACCGACCCGCTCAGCATTCGTCTCTTCAGATGCCGCTGTGTGTCCCTGTGTCGAATGGCAGCCTAACGTTGAAAAGAGAAGGGCAGATAGAGCTGGGAGGAGTATCGGAGGAAGTAGGTGGCACTCCTCCCACTGGGGATGGCTAGAGAAAAATATCCCCAGCCGTAGATTGCCACAAGAGCTACTACACAAGATTACCGCTATCTGTTTAACCTCCTTAAGCTTGGGTGTTAGTTTAGCAACAGTTTACAAACTATTCCATCTGATTGTCCCAAATCCAGCGTTGTATCTTTGTTGGCAGATTGCCTGATCCAGCTAGTTAGCCTGTGTCTTCTATTATCTATCTTGTATATAGCGTTTACTTTGGGATGGTAGATGGCTAGCCATGCACGGAATTATTTAGACACAGGTCTTACCTTTGTTTTCATGCCAGTCCATCCTCTTACAGCTCAGTTTAAGGTTGTACATCTGGTCAATATATTTTTAAATAAAACTTGAATAAATCTGCAAGAGAAACAAGAGGAATAATTCTCTAGCTCTTAATGTCGATCCACATCCAGAAGATGAAGAGTTTAGTATATAACTGATGAGAGGACTAGATTTTAAAATATTTCAAATTTTAGTGGGTGTTTTCAGGTCCTGTAGGAGATTTATATAAACGTATAGAGAAGACTGTTGGTTATCTTAATGGCACCGATGCATGGGCTCTAGTAGTAGAAAGACCATTTTACCTGCAGATAGATCATTTGTCCTGCCTTTCTCTTTTTATTATGTGAAAGAAGGGAAGTAGTGCCAACTCTGATGTTTTCTGAAGTATTGTGTTTTGATCACAGCGTAATAATCTTCCTTAAATTGCAGACAAACCAAACAGCTTTGTTCAGTTTAATAGCACAACATTTAGGGAAGTTTCCAGTGTAACACTTCCACTTCTTTTATTACTTATGTCGTGATTGATCTCTTGTTTACTCATTATGTTGTTTCCAGATTAGGACCATGATACCAGAGACCAGCTGGAAGGCACCTTTGCACAGATATATTTGTGTCTTTTGTTGCTGTATTTTAATACGTCTTTCTTAAGGGAGGTTCCAGCGTTTACTAGCAAAGCAGTGATTGTTTTGTGAGTTTATGTTTTTGTGAGATAAGATTTCTTGGTAAAGGCTTTTAGATAAACACCGTACTAAAGACACATGATTGTAATACTACATTAGGCTGACTACACAATTACATACTAGAGTAAACATTATTCAATCTTAAACCAAAACTCCAATCCAGTCCTTGATTGTTTATATGCTATGATTCAGCCCAAATCTTGCACTAGTCTTTTACTTAGTTTTGCCCAATAGACTATAGATATTGAAAGTAAAATTAATAGGATGCTTATCAACAAAAATGGAATTTTACAGCATATTTAGTCAGGGACCTGAGCCACTGGATTTTTTGTAAATAAGGTATATAATCCCAAAACAATTGAGAAACTTGCTTGTATAGTCCTCAAATACTCTTAACGCATTTTTCTGTAACATAATCTAAAAATATGTGGCAGTCATGGGATAAAATATTTTATAAATGCTTATTTGGGATGGCTTTGTAATGCAGCTGTGGCTTTATGAATTGCCAAAAAAGTCCCATAACAGTAATGCTGATAAGATCACATTACCATGTATAGCTTTTACTTTGTGTCTTAGGTAACTTATGGAAATCGTGTGAGTTTGCACACAAGCGTAGCTTTTAATATCACAAATTAATATATGTGTACTGTGGAATATGTTTGTGTCTTTTATCCTATAGGTTACTTGTATTGCTGTGCTGTTTCAAAAATCAAAAACATAAGCTAAGAAATTCTTCATGTAAAAATTTCTTCATATATCTTTGATGTAAGTGGATTTCTACCGGGACATAATTGAATTAGGGAATGTATGGAATAAATTTTTAAAGCAAGCATGAATGCTTGTTTAACCTTCAGATGGGATTATATAACAAGTGGTTGAAAAGAAAGCATTCTTAGTTTACACACTTTTTTGGGTAACTGTTGATTCCCAGCGCTTGCAACTGAGATAACTGCATATCAACTTTTCCCCCTTTACGTGCATTTGTGTGGGAGAGCCAAGATCACATTCACGGGAAGATTTTGTAAACTTTTAAATTATAACTTGAAGCCATATATGGGAAGAGTGAGAAGCACAACTTTTATTTGGCAACTAGTAGGCAGCCGTCTTCTAATACCTGTTCTCATGATTTTTCTTTCCCAATGTTGAAGTAGTGGCGATGATAATTCTGAATTGTTGTTATTACTACTGTCAAATTGTTTTTAAAGCGTTTATCCTGCAGTAGTATTTTACCTGCTGTAGTATACCTGGAGTCCACTTCTGTGAATTTTGCAATTTTGGGAGAAGCTTGTCTTTGCTTATATATCAATTCTAAGACATTCGGTTCTTCTTTGCTACAGCTTGCTCTTATTTATAGTTAGTATCACAGCGACGTGCAGGATATCAAACAGAACTTGGATTCCTTTTGAGCTGGATGGGTTATATTCCTACCCTTAAGATTTTACATTCTAAACAGAGAAATTGGACAAATGGTAGAAGGGAGAGGTGGCCTAAAATGTTGCTGTAGGCCAGTAATACATGGGTCTTTGATCATTAGCATGCTGTACAGTGAATTTTCTTTCATCCTCAGTGTAACCATTTGAGCTGCAGAAGCAAACAGAACAGCAAATATCGTAGCAGCCTCTTTTGCAGAGTGTAGAAGTGATGAGGAGGAATAGATAGAACAGTAAACATACTTTGATCCGATATATCAAGCTGACCAAAAAAAGTATCAGTAATTCAAATTCCTCACTGTAGGGTCTAAAAAGAATGTTAATAAATAGATCTGTGTGTAGATGTAGTGGAAGCTTTCTGATTTTTGGGTGAAGCGTTAGGGTATTAATTCGTGCATTTTGCAAAAGGGACTTTGGTTGCATACTGATGTCTGAACAAAGTTATTTTTGTCCTGTTATGTTTTTTTGTGCTAGTACAGGCTGCTGCTTCGTATAATGTGCCAATGCATAAGTTTTCATATAGGGATACTCAGTTCACAGGCACAAAGATCTGTATCTAGCAAGACAGCAGGAGGGTCTGGTTATATTCCTTTGGTACACCTGGTAGGTATGGGTAGAATTAATTAACATAGTTTTTGCTGAAAAGTGACATGCCAGTCCATGACAGCAAAAAGGGTTTGTTCCTGATGACAGTCATTCACTTTCTGCTGGTTCAGAAGGCTTCCTTGAAGGAATTTTAATTGATCTGCACTTACCCAAAATAAATCAGAAACAGTGCTGTATCCTAGAGATTAAAGCAAAAGAGGAGATACTGGAATACAGAGTATATGATTTTTAAGGTTTGCTTTGAGATGAAACTTGGGACACGGAGATGCTGACCTGCATTTATGTAAGTGTTGAACTGAGTGGGAACACGTGGATGAAGTTACAGACTCAAACACATGAGACCAGCGAACAACTTGAGAAGCAGAACCTTGCTTTGTAGCTCTCTGCCCTGGCTGCTTTGGGACTGTCGACCGGGGAGAGGAAGGCTACTGCTGCTTTACAGTAAGACTTTTGTGGGTTTTTTTTCTGTGGTGATGCTATTTCGGAAAAGTCAATCAAATTTATTAAGAATGTAGTAAAGTACAGAGAACCATGGGAGTTCACTTTGCAGTTCAAAAGGATCTAGCCTGTATTTCAAATGCAAGTAAGACTAGACTCCCTATGTACCTAATGCAGTAATTCTAGTTCTTGTGTGGTGAATGTATCAGTGCAAAATGGATATAAGAATTTGTTGAATTCAACACCACCACCTGAATTCAGCCACCTGAGTTTCACTAGGCAGTTCCTGAATTCAAGGGATAGGGAATAGATGATGCCTCTGCAAATTCTTCATCTTCAGGCTTTTGTAGTCTTCTGTCATGCCCTCCCTTAAGTTGTCTCTTTTCCAGTCTGGATAGTTGTGGCGTACGGAATTGTTCCTCGTATGGAAACCATTCTGAGCCTTTGATCGTGTATGTTTTCTTGTCTGAACCTTTGCTAATTAGTTCTGTTGTATTATGTTCTGCGCTGGACACCGTAGTGGAGCATGCTTTTGAAGATGGGGATTAATACAGTGGCAAATGATGTGTTATGCTTTGTTCTTTATTCCTTTCCCACTAATTTTTAACATTCAATTTATGGTTTTGACTTTGATGGAGTGGTGAGTTGAGTTTTCATGAAGCTATCCGTCATAAACCCCAGGTCTCACTTTCTGAGCTTAAGATGTGGTGCAATAGAGAGCTGTTTTGTTTAACAGGAGATTCAGATTAGAATACTTATCAGTAATGGGTAACCAAGACTGTTTCCAGTGAACCTGTGTTCAGAAAATTGTGATTGCCTGCTTGAACCCTGCCAAAAGTATTCAAAATTTCTCGGTGGTGCAACATAAATCATCAATAATAGGAAATTGTCTTCTAATTTGTACACTTAGACTTTTTAAAATAATATAATCTTGTTATTATGAATCTCAGGCGTGGAGTAGGTGACTACTTTAGGAGTAGTGACTACTTTACATGTTTCATACAAAGAAAGAAGGATGTAAAACGTGGAATATCTTCCAGGGTGTGCAGTACACGTGTGTAAGAATGTGGCCCTGTAAACGTACTGAAGTGTGTTTTGAAGAGGTGATTGTAATACCTTGCTATAAAACACGATACGGATGCTTGCACTTACTGTATTCCTTTCCCTTCTTACCCTTAGATAATTTCAAGTGAAAATTAAGGACCTTTTGTCCTTGTCTGCCCTAGAGTTGACAGACACTTCTGGAAGGAGGACCAGTTTGAGCAAAAAGGAAAAGACCGTCCCTTCCGACAGCGCAGCAAAGTGACTAAGTGACTCCGAAGAAATGTAAGTAATTTCTAACCGAACTGTGGCTGTGGCGGTTTCTACTGTGGATTTATATGCTCTGTGGGAGGAATACAGTACCACGTCACTGAAACGTATTGCTTATAGATGTAAAACGTGGTTTAGGAAGAAATTTGTGGAGCATACAGAAAATATGTATTCCTCCTATGTTTGTGTGATGGTAAGCTATACTACAATTTTTTTTTTCCAAATGGCAATTGTTAATGGAAATGAAGTGCTGTAAGAATCACAAACCTGTTTTTCTACCATTTTCTACTCATCTAGATCTGAGTTAATTTAGATATGTAGAAACTAAGCAGCTAAATCTCAGTTAGTCATCCTAGATTCTGCTTACCCGCAGGAGAGAAGCAGGCATCTCCAGAGGCCGATCCAGCTCATCCTAAAAGTAATGGCTAGGGAATTCAGTATTATTCCGTGAGTAGCTTGTGTCTCTCCGTTGATGGCTTAGCTTTAGCTTAAGTGTTCAATGAACACTTCAACCTGGCACGTCTGTGTAAGAAGCAGTGCCAACTTCTTTTCCCCTCCCCATATTGTCATTCTCCCTCAGCGTGTGTAGCTGTTCATAAATTTGGAGAATGAATCTGGCTGAAAATAAGCAATTATTTGTATGGTTTTGTTTTCAGCTGGGTTTATCTCAGCCTTCTCCCATATGGCTGTCCAAGGGCTGTGACTGGTACAAAGGGTGATGGGGGTGGGAATTAGCAGCCAAAAGTGTGGGGGAGTGCATGATAGCTTCTTTCGGCAGCTGTGCTAGTTTCTGCAGCTTAAATTGCTTGGTGAGCCATAGTCTCAGACCTTGTAGATACTTTTAGTGCTCTGCCATTTATAAGAGTGGAAAAACTTGAGTGAGGCACCCTTACTTGTTATCTAATGGGGAACTACTGTTTTGTTGTGCATTTCACACTGGTAGTGCAGGGTCTTTTATATCCTTTGTAAATTAAAATTCAGATCTCCAAAACCAGGAAATGGTCCCAAATGCCTAGCAAGTAAGCAGGTGTCTTATAGTAAGCTATAGTGTAGGCATGATACTGTATAATTCATATATACATACATAATTTCTGAATCTTAAAAATGCTAGCCTGATTTTGTATAGCACCAAGCATCATGTGTGGGTTGGGTGGTATCGTATGATTAGCGGTTGTACTAATTTAGGCACAGCATCCTTGCCTCTCCTGAACAGTAAAATACTGAATAACTTTTCATTCTCACATTAAATACCTGATGGGAGGGTGTAAAGAAGACAGACAGAGCCAGACTTTTCTTACTGGCGCCCAGTAACAGGATGAGAGGCAACGGGTATAAATCGAGTACAGAAAATTCCATTTAAAGATAATATAAAAAACTTCGTTACCTTGAGGATGGTCAAACACCGGAGCAGATTGCCCAAAGAGGCTGTAAGGTCTCCATCCATGGAGATGCTCAAAACCCAATGGGACATGGTGACAAGCAGCCGGCTGCATCTGACCCTGCTTGAGCAGGGGTTTAGACTAGACAATCTCCTGAGGTCCCTTCCAACCTCAGCTATTCTATGATTCTGGGAATATTTATAGGTAGGCAAAATAGACAAGATTCTGCTATTTTATTTTGTAATATATTAATTTTTTAATTATTATTATTTTGTTTTGCCTATTTTGATGTATTTAGCTATTCAGTTTAGGCTTCTAGTTAAGTTTTGGCTAAAGATGAGGGATGGCAGAAGTTGCAAGCTTTCTAAAATGTGTTACATTATATTTAAAGACTTGTGAATATAACTATGAAAATCACATTGAAGTCTGTGAAAATATTTTTTAACTATGAATTAGCACCGTAATTCACGTGATATGGACAGTCACATGATGGGGATTTTGGATGTTTAAAGTGAGTACCTTTTTCACTTGATCCGTGGAAAGGAAGATACATTTTTAGTGTCATTTTGTGTTTGGAAAAAAAAAAAAGACAGAACTAGGGACAAAGCCTTGGAGGAGAGATCCATTAATCCACAATAGAAATAGCTGTCTTCCTGAAGTCTTGCCAGAGGTCAATGAAGACCTATAAAGCAGCCTAACAATTTCATTATAAGCTCTGTTTTCAGGTACTTGCAAATGGCCATTCTGGGACAGTCCATAATTCAAGTGGATGCCAATGGAAACATGTAAAAACTGGGCAAATGTACAGTGACACTTCACAATATAATCTTCTGTCTTCTAGGAATGTGTGATTCAGGGCCTTCCTTGTGTTTTGAAATACTTAGGGAAAAGGAACTCACTCTTTAAATGTCAGTTTTCTTGATTTTCAACTTCTATTAGTTTGGCAGACATTTTCTGTCTACAGTTTTGCTACAGGCTGAATGTCTTTGCAAAAGCTTCCGTGAGGTGGGTGTATCATTTCTGAAAATGGGGAAAAAAATGCTCTAAAAATAGGTCTAGGAACTCTGCTTTGCTTTTGAGCAAGGACTTGAAATTTGAGAGTGAGGCTTTAATGGGTTATAAGATGTGCTTTTTGCCATGCCTCTGAACGTCTATCCTTATTGCACTGGATTACAAGCTTTTGAAAATTGGTGCTTACTCATAATCAGAAGAGGCATACTACTTTGTCAGCGTATTCTCAAAATATTCTCTGTATATTCTTAAGGTCCTAGAAATTACTGAGTCTGTCGTGGCTGGGAGATCAAACACTGTATGACATTTCAAATGTACAGATCCCCTGTTATTTTCACAAAAGGGTCTTGTTTTTTGAATTTTTCTGGGACAGTGTATTTTGATTTTTATGCTTGTTGAGAATTGTGTTTTTCTGCATCTTATGCTTGCTTTTCCCATGTACTCTTTGAGAAGGATGTCAAGAGTGGGATGAATTTCCCGACGTTAGCCATCTAAAAACGTAGGTGTTCTAAATCTGAGATGGTCACTATAGGCTTCTTTAGTCAGTGGAGAGAGATGGAGGCTTCCAGGGGAGGATTCCCATAGCCCCTTTTTGTGTCTGTCTTAAGATGAGATGATTCATCCTTTGGAGATGCCTGTTTCTTGTCACTGAAAATAAAAGCCTAAGGTGACCAGCACAAATTTAGACATCTAACTTTTCTGTTGTGTTAAGACAGATAAATTCCATCTCATGTGACATAATGCGAGACGTAAGAGGCAGGAATGTTACCGCTGACATTGACAAAAACGTCCTGCTTTCACATGAGTAAACAAAATTCTTTTTGAAATTATTTCTTTGTGGTTATGGTGATGCATATGAGCTTATTAAAAGGACGTTTTCCATATTGCTTAGACATTGTATGCAACCATTTAAAAAATGCTTTTCAAATGCCATTTTAATATTAACTATGAAATATCAATGGATTTTGAATTTTTTCTTTTATTTTTTGTCTCTAGGTTGAGAAATGCAAATGTTTTAACTCCATATTGTTACTTAGTTTTTAGTAAGATAGTAAAAGTGATGTATCATGAGATTCTAGCATTGTTGCTTAAGTATTGCTTGCAAGAAAAGACTGAATGAAAAAATACGGTGCTAATATAACAGATGAAAATGCGCTTTTAACTAATTTTTAAAAGCAAGTAATCAGATGACTTTCCAATTTGAAAAAGATTGCTCTACTATCAACTAATATTGATAATGTGTTCTATTAAATGAGATTGTGATGAAATGCTGTTTCCCATTTGTATTTTGAAGTATTGTAGATTTCTTCAGTAATTTAAACTGCTGTCTGTATTTGAGTAACAGCAACTACATCGCCTAACACAGGACGATAACGTACCACCTTCCTCAGTTGCAGTGTTCATGGATAAGGGCTGTATGTGGGGAGCACTTCTTGCCATGGAATAGTTGAACGGGTCTAAAAGGCATTAGAAGGAACGTACAACGTTCCTATTTGCTTTTTAGTTGAGATATAGGCATAGGACAAAGAAATGTTAGTGTAACTTTGTCTTTTTGTGGCCAATTACCATATATTGGAATGATTACCTTGGACGGCTAGACTTACCTGAATTATTTCATATGTGTTTTTAACATCACTGTTATGAAACTGTGGACAACAGTAGAATATGCTTCAAAGATGGTCTCAGTATTATACTTGTCCCGTTGTAGGAGAAATGCATGATTGCTTATTGTAGGCAGTATTTCTATACTTCCACTTATGGCTGATGATTAACCTCATTGGGGTGTATCAAATTTTTCTTTCAGTTTTAACTTTGTTTTGAATATTACTTTTTGTATCTGGGTTGTTTCTTTCATTTTGTTTCCATCTTTTCATTGTTACTTAAAAAGTGGTACATTTAGCTAAGTATTGCATAGTAGCGGAGTGCATGTATAATAGTGTAAAACTACAGAGGATACCTGACTCCTGGAATCTACATTCAACCTGAGGAAGGGATTTTTTTTTCTTTTTAAAAGGGTACTTGCAAATTGGCCTAAAGAAAATGCTTAGAGAAGGGAAACAATCTCATGTTAATAATTTTTAGGTATTTTATCTTTCTCTCTATAATATTTGCACAAAATAACATTCACCGGTGTTTGTATCTCAGTGTCAGTAAGCCATGTGCTGTAAACATGAACAAAATATTTCCCTTAGAAACACTGTCATATCAGTACTTGCTGGCCAAGATTCTCAGTGGTAAATAAGCAGAAATTCGCTGAAGCTGACAAGCTGGCTCTTTGTGTAGTTGATACAAATTTTATAGGCTTGATTTTTTTCATGATTGTCTGGCTTTATTTGAGTTGGATTTGTAATATTCCTATCCTTTTGCTACTTTAAGAATGTTTAGTTTTGAATGGCATTTTATGCATTATTACAAAAATCCACCAAAAAGACCCTAGTTCTGAGAAAACGAAAAGGGCAGTTCAGCCAAGGTGCCACTAAACAGAGGATGTTTGAGTAGTGAAGAACTGTGCGTATTTGTATTGAACTATAAATTTTATTTTATGATTGATATTTTGTCCTGACCCTGTTAGAGGGCTCAAACTGAGTAGATCCAACAGGCTGAGAATATCTGGGTCCAGTGAGT